AGCCGCTAGAGCCTTCCGCCAGACAGGATCAGCCAGAGCCTTCCGCCAGACAGGATCAGCCAGAGCCTTCCGCCAGCCATGAGCAGCCAGATCCGTCAGCCAGCCATGAGCAGCCAGATCCGTCAGCCAGCCATGAGCAGCCAGATCCGTCGGCCAGCCATGAGCAGCCAGATCCGTCAGCCAGCCATGAGCAGCCAGATCCGTCAGCCAGCCATGAGCAGCCAGATCCTTCAGCCAGCCATGAGCAGCCAGATCCGTCGGCCAGCCATGTGCAGCCAGATCCGTCAGCCAGCCATGAGCAGCCAGATCCTTCAGCCAGCCATGAGCCGTCCAGCCAGGATCCGCCAGAGCCGTCCAGCCAGGATCCGCCAGAGCCGTCCAGCCAGGACCCGCCAGAGCCAGCCAGCCAGGATCTGCCATTGAGTCCGGTGCTGTCCCTTAGCCCGGTGCTGCCCATTATCCTGGTGCTGCCCCTTAATCCGGTACTGCCCCTTAGTCCGGTGCTGCCCCTTAGTCCGGTGCTGCCCTTTAGTCCGGTGCCGCCCCTTAATCCAGTGGGGTTTAGTTGGGGGGTGGTCATGTGGAGGAGGCTACGGAAGCGGATAGTGACTAAGGTGGGGTGGGGACCACGACCAGGGCCAGAACCGCCACCGTGGACAGACGCTCACCCAGACCCTCCCCTAGACTGTATGCTGGTGCGCCCGGAGGTCGCACCTTTAGGGGGGGGTACTGTGACACTCTGGCTCCGGGACGTTTGTATTTGAGCCAGGGTGTATTTTGTGTTGTTGGGTTTTGGTTTGGTTATGTTGGGCATTTGGGTGTATTTCTATGTTGGTAGTTCTGTTGTGTGTATTTCTAGGTTTGGTCATTGACTCCCAATCGGAGGTAACGAGTGTCAGCTGTCGGCTCGTTATCTCTGATTGGGAGCCATATTTAATCTGTATGTTTTCCTGTGGGATTTGTGGGTTTTTGTTCCAAGTTCAGTCATTGTCACTGTTGGACTTCACTATCGTCTTTTGTTTTGTATTTACGTGCTTTACTTATTAAAGTCATTATGTTCACTCAACGCGCTGCGTATTGGTCTGCTCCCTTTCAAGACGGCCGTGACACTACAGTAGATAAAGACATCTGCCATTCAACTGTATTAGGGCAACATTTTGGAGTGACAGTGGAATCAACCAATCACATTTTGATTTAATAGGTGGGACCGTTCTTACAAAAACGTATGGAAACTTCTGCCTTCTTGAAGGCCAACAGGTCACTGCGCAATAGCGAGCAGTAGTTTTCCCACAGTCTAGCTAGCTTGCTTCTGTTGTCGGTTAATTTGCAGCGGCTGCAGCAGGTGTTATCAAACAGGATGTTGTTGCTAATTTGTTAGCTTCTCCCTTTTCAAGAATACATTTCAACAAGAAGTTAAGTTTCAAATGATCATCATCTGGTGAGTGGAACGGTTTTTTATTGCAGCGCGCTTGCAGTTGTTAGCCATCTCTTTGAAAATAGCTGATGTGTGTGAAACATTGTTGCATTTAAAGTGGAACTGACAGCATTTTAGTAACATTACATTTGATTAAAATCTGTTCATATACACCTCCAGGAAGAATATTACGCATAAAACATTTTCTGACAAGCGACCACTTAGATACGGCCATTTTCAAGTTATCATAAATTATTAGAATGTTTGGGAATTATGTATACTAGGGCATTTGTGAAAATTCTATAGCAATATAGAGGTGGAAAGCGGCCGTGAGTTTGGACAATTAATAGACACTGCAGTAAATAAAACCGAATAAAAACATCTGTCTCGTCCTGGACCGGAGTCTACACAGACAGGTGCGCTATAACCAATCAGAGCTACAGTAGGCCTTTGCCACACTGGCCTGCCATCGTTCACTTTGAACTGGACTGTGTGTTTACAGGCAGTTGCGACTTTAGATCATTAGAACGCATTCGCCAAAAGCCACAAAATACACCTGAATGGATTTCTACAAATATATAAACACCACATTTGGGAACTTTACATTCCTATTGATCAAACAACCATGAAAGGGTAGGCTCTCTCTCCCTCAGTTATGCACAACAACAAGACCAACAACTAATGTTAGCCAGAGCAAGATGAGCTCAAAACGAAGGAACATCAGACAAACTCTCTCAAACTTTTTCAACTAGTTGGCCGTCAAAATTGCACTGATAAACGATGGGGAATTGTATTCTCCTCGTCCTTCTGCAGCTTCTCTGCCAATGCATGCTTGTCCCAACCAAGCACCCAAGCTAACTGGCTAAAGTTGGCTAACTTGCTAGCTAGCTAGCTAGCTACTTCCAGACACAAATGAAAGAACACCTCACTCTGACCCTTTTACTCGCCGTAGCAGAGCTGGTTAGGCTGTTTACATGTTATCTCAAGTATTCTTGACTATTACTATTTTTGCCTACGTTTACTGACACTGGTCATATTCAGCGGGTGTTCATTTCCTCCACATATTGTAGCCTACAGTACTGTATGTCTCCACAAGCCTAGGCTATTGATGGATTCAAGACAAGGTTGTTTTTAATTTATCTTTTATGAGGTATTTAAAGATTCTGCCAAAGTCTCCAGTCATATGAAATGACATAGAATTGCATGAAATGCGTTTTTAAAAGGACAATTTTTTTCCTGGACCCTAGACTACTAAAAATGTTCCCCATGTGTGCAACTTCTTTAAGTGTATCTACTCTACTGCTCTATGCCAAGACGCAAATGCGATGATATGCATGCAATGCTTTATTATAAAGGTGATTTAGATTTTAAAAAATAATGTGTTCAGGTACCTCAGAACTCCACCAGGTCACCCCCCTCTCGCGCTCACTTTTTGTTCCGGCACCTCCCGATTTATAAATTAAGCACTGCAAATAGCCTACTAACCAACACTTCGGACTAAACTTTTTCAATACCTGGTTTGCCTACACATTGTTGCCTTAGTTAGCATTTACTGGTAGATATAGGTTGAAACGTCTTTCCTACCCTACCGGCTACCGATGTCATTCTTCTGTGAGCTGCTCCATGCCAAAACCAGTTGAGAGCTGCACACTCTTGCTGCCTGCAGATGATATTCTGTTGAAACTAGGCTATGTGTGTATGGCGTGTATGTGAATATATTTCACAGGCTTTGCAATTGTGTAGGCTACTTTGTGCATGGTTTCTCTATTGTACTACATAATTTATAAGTCGTATACCTCCAATACACTACTTTGATACGCACCAGTAGGGCTTAAGAAGTGACTATATGCAATGCCCACTGAAAAACAAAAGTGGGTATACAGCGTATACCTGCCTACTCTCCTACATGAGTGCGCTGGTATTACGGTTGCTGTCCTTTCAGAATGACGAACCTGTCACACACTGAAGGCCTATAGGTTCGCCACTGCGCAAACATGTCTATAAAATATATATCGACTGTTAAGATATTAATGTTTCAAGAAAGCAGCGTATATATTTGGCCTGGCGAACGCTGACTGAATGGAAGCTGATAATTATGAGTTTTTTTACTCCGCTGGTCTCGGGAAGAAGTTAAGAGTCCTCACTGTCCGAGACCGAGATAAGACCGAGACACTCTATGTGGTCTCGAGTACTACAACACTGTTAGTTAGTGCACATAAAGATGTAGGCCTATGCAATTAATCTCTATTGAACAAATAAAAAAACATGAAATTCTGGTGTCCTATTTTGACAGTAAAATATAGCAACTATTGTTTAATTGTCAACCTGAAATGTATGACAATCACCTGGATTAGGTTTCACATCAAAATATATTTAATCATACATTCCTGTTTGGATGTGTTAAATGAAACAACGTATTTATTGAATAACTCCACAGTCTATTATACTTCTTAATAAAGCACTATGAATTACTTTATTCGATTATTCATGATTTGGGTCCGACCAAATCATGGGGCTGGTGCCACCTGTAAAAGTTAGTGGCACCAATGACACCAGGGGAAAATGTTAGCCCTGTAATATTAATGAACACTTACGGTAGGTATTGATTCAGCGTAACGCATTTGATGGGCACTAATTTGCAATATAGTCTCCAAGTCCTTAGTTTGGTTTTTATAAAGTATAAGGCAGACACAAACAGAGAACAGGAAGCACAGAGTGATGGCAGAGAAGAGGAGACAGATATGGCTCCTTCTACACAGGCAGCCCAATTCAGATCTCTTTTTTTCACTAATTGGCCTTTTGAACAATCAGATCAGCTCTGAAAAAGAGATGATGTGAAAAGATCTGATGTGATTGGTCAAAAGAGAAATTAGTGGGGGAAAGAGATCAGAAGTGGAATGCCTGTGTAAACGCAGCACAACCGGGAGGCAAACAAAATAACTAGAGCAGAGGCGCAGTTATAGTGGTGAGTTTTATCGCCAGTGGTGTTTTCGCATATTGTATTTGTTTTAAACATGAGCTGGTTATAAAAAAAAGAGGACCATGTCTCGTCAGTCACTGCACTGTACAGAAATGATTGAGTCCTATATCCATCCCATCATGTTTTATTTTGAATTTCAGCTGTGGAATAGTTACTAGTACTACTAGGCCTAGATCATAACCCCTACTGGTTATGAGTCTTTATGACCTTTTCCCCCACCTTTTTTATAATTCCAACTAGTTCCTAATGCATAAATATTTTGGTTTGAGCAATGCCAGCTCATGTGCTAGCTAGCTAGCTAACTGCAAATCGATCATTTTCTGCTAAGATGTTAGATACATACTTATGAATGATGGCTTTTTTCTCATGAATTTGTTCTTAGTTGTCACTTTTAACCCCCTCTAATAAAATGTTACTAATCCTTATCACTGGTGTGGTTATAGCGGTATGATACTTAGTAAGTAGATATTTGTAAATTAAGTATTACTTACCTTCAAGATACAATTACTTGCAATGTTGTGTAAGCACTTCTGCCTGTGTCTAAGTAGTGGAAACTATCATACGATACGAAAATGAACAATGCGCCATTGCTGAGCATAACAACCTATTTTTATTAACCCTGTAGGCTAATAAAATTCCAGCTATGGCTGTTCCATGCGGGCGCACGCTACGCTTGTGGCCAGTCGCACTGTGCCCGCAGGTGGAGTCGCTTCTTGGTGCGCACAGATTAACCGCCCACTGTCCTTGCCGAGGATAAAAACGAGACGAGATTCATTTTTATCATCAAACTGCCGAACCCTGCTTTTTTAACGTTTATAGAGATGACTAGCTCCAACGAATCCGCTGTGGACATTGCGCACGTCTACAGGGGGACGTTTGTGCACTCCACCGATCACACAGCCGTGGAAATTCTGGAGGATAGGCTTCTGGGAGTGGACATGGAGGGGAAGGTCTGTCAGAATTAAATAAAATAAAAATAGAATTAAACTGTGAAAGTCTATTTTAATATCTATGAACAGCATACATTATGTTAATTCATTTAGAAATTAGCCAGAATTTGATTTAGCATTTTTGTATGGATACCATTGGCCCATACAAATAACATTTTCTTCAAAAGAAGATAAACCTGTTTCCAAAATCCGTTATAATTGTGCAGCGTGTAACTCTGGTAAAACTACACATGAGCAGTAGATATATAGGCTACAAAGGACCTGTGACAGCTGTCACGAAAGTTGTGAAATGTGGTCTGGACTTTGTAATAATAGTAGTTTCATGGAAATCGTTTTCTTGCGATTATTTTGCTTTCTCATGCATGTGATGTTTTTATTACATGGATTTTATTACAAAGGTTTCCCAAACTGACTCATATGCCCCCCAGATCCTAATTATGAGTTTAGGTGGTGTACTCTATTGGGGAATTGGATGCATGTTGTTTGTATAGTATATATACAGTGCATTCGGAAAGTATTCAGACCCCTTCACTTTTTCCACATTTTGTAACGTTACAGCCTTATTCTAAAATTGATTAAATAGCATTTTTTTCTTCTGATAAATCTATACACAATACCCCATAATGACAAAACAGGTTTTTAGACATTTTTGCAAATGTATAAAAAAAAAAAAAAAAACGGAAATATCTCATATACATAAGTATTCAGACCCTTTACTCAGTACTTTGTTGATACACCTTTAGCAGCAACTACAGCCTCAAGTCTTCTTGGGTATGACACTACAAGCTTGGCACACCTGTATTTGGGGAGTTTCTCCCATTCTTCTTTGCAGATCCTCTCAAGCTTTGTCAGGTTGGATGGGGAGCGTCGCTGCACAGCTATTTTCATCTCTCTTCAGAGATGTTCGATCGGGTTCAAGTCTGGGCTCTGTCTGGGCCACTCAAGGACATTCAGAGTCCTGTTGGAAAGTGAACCTTCTGAGGTGCTGAGCGCTCTGGAGCAGGTTTTCATCAAGGATTTCTCTGTACTCTCGCTGTACTTTGCTCCGTTCATCTTTCCCTCGATCTCAACTAGACTCCCAGTCCCTACCACTGAAAAACATCCCACAGCATGATGCTGCCACCACCATGCTTTACCGTAGGGATGGTGCCATGTTTCCTCCAGACGCGACGTTTGGCAATCAGGCCAAAGAGTTCAATCTTGGTTTCATCAGACCAGAGAATCTTGTTTCTCATGGTCTGAGAGTCCTTTAGGTGCCTTTTGGCAAACTCCAAGCGGGCTGTCATGTGCCTTTTACTGAGGAGTGGCTTCCATCTGACCACTCTACCATAAAGGCCTGATTGGTGGAGTGCTGCAGAGATGGTTGTCCTCTGGAAGGTTCTCCCATCTCCACAGAAGAACTCTGGAGATCTGTCAGTGACCATCAGGTTCTTGGTCACCTCCCTGACCAAGGCCCTTCTCTCCCAATTGCTCAGTTTGTCCGGGCTGCCAGCTCTAGGAAGAGTCTTGGTGGTTCCAAACTTCTTCCATTTAAGAATGATGGAGGCCACTGTGGTCTTGGGGACCATCAATGCTGCAGACATTTTTCGGTACCCTTCCCCAGATCTTTGTCTCGACACAATCCTGTCTCGGAGCTCTACGGACAATTCCTTTGGTTTTTGCTCTGTTTTTGCTCTGACCTGCACTGTCAACTGTGGGACCCTATATAGACAGGTGTGTGCCTTTCCAAATCATGTCCAATCAATTTAATTTACCACAGGTGGACTCCAATCAAGTTGTAGAAATATCTCAAGGATGATCAATGGAAACAGGATGCACCTGAGCTCAATTTCGGGTCTCATGCAAAGGGTCTGAATACTTATCTAAATAAGGTATTTCAGTTTTTATTTAATACATTTGCAAAAATGTGTTTAGATTGATGAGGAAATATTTTCATTTAATCCATTTTAGAATAAGGCTGTAACGTAACAAAATGTGGAAAAGGTCAAGGGGTCTGAATACTTTCCGAATGCACTGTATGTTGAGGGTATATGTAATCCGGCTATGCCTTAATGTGTTACAATAGATCACTTCATGTATGGATCAATTATATTTAAATGAATGAACACCTTGTTGAGTCAGGCTCTGATTGTCTCTCTCAGGCTCTGATTGTCTTTGGTTGGTTCTCATGTTGACAGATTGCCTTCATTGGGAGTGGGCAGGAAGTCGACAGTCTTTCACAGAAGTGGAGGTTTGAGGCCTTGGCTGTTACACAGCTTGGACAGCAGTGAGTAAAGAGTCCATCCTATGAGAGTAACACTGATTCCAAATGTAACTCCTACTTCACTTCATCTGTTTCTGACTGAACACAACCTAGTTATTATCCTAAAGTCCATTTGGTTGTCATCGTTGTCTGTAGTGAGTTCTTCATGCCAGGGATGGTGGACACCCACATCCACGCGTCTCAGTACAGCTATGCAGGCACAGCCCTGGACCTGCCCCTGCTACAGTGGCTCAACACGTACACCTTCCCAGTGGAGGCCCGCTACAAAGACATGGGGTTCGCCCGCAACGTCTACACCCATGTCGTGGTGAGCGTTCTGGGCCAAACTAACACACCTCAGCCTATATAAGTCATCAGGGTCGTGTTCATTAGGCACCAAATGTTAGAAAACGGACTGAAACAGACCTGGATTTAGCATAGAGGATTATAGACCATTCGTATCCTTATTTCCTATTTTAAATGTATGTTATACTTTTGAAGCCTTGTGTTGCAGGGGTTAATATTGCAGTGATAATGGACACTCAGGAGCAGAAACTTTGGATGCCGTCTTTGCTCCTGTGTGTCTATTTTCCCGTGTTTTTCGGAATTCACTGCTGTGCAGGGATAGGAATGCCAATGTTGGGCCAAAGGAGGGCCAATAACAAGCTGCTATGGCCTTTTATTAAAGGTTAAAGAGAGTTTACATTTGTGAAGCTTTAGCTTATTTTAAACAACCTGCAGTGAAGCAAAAAATATAAAAAAGTTAACTATTTAGGTTGCTTCCTTGGCTACATAAGGAAAGCTCACAGAGTGAGACAGTAGCATAGAAATTCTGATGAAATCTGGATACAATGTAACACATAGCAGGCTAGGGCAGGTGATATTGCAGTGAGAGAGTGGTGTGTATGAACAGGCCCTATTTGGCCTGAATACTAAAACAATCTCTGTCTATTTCAGAAAAGAACCCTGAGAAATGGTACCACTACGGCATGTTACTTTGCCACAATACATACCGATGCTGCTCTCCTGCTGGGCCAAATCGCAAGTGAGAAAACAGACACATAAACACACAAATGTGCAGACACACACTCTACTGCTCACTTGCACAATGGCTGAACATTGAACATAGCCCAGATGTTTGTGCGGGATAATCAGAGTGGTTGTACTTTGACCTGTTCCCAGTGGTCTTCTCACCTGTGGATAACTCGTGTTTATTACATAAGTCTATAACTTTATGACAAAGGCAGAGAGAGGAAGGGAAGAACAAGGCATGCTATATGATAAAAGAGCACAGGATGTTATCTGACTGGCTCTAAACATTAACCTCAGTCACATAATGTACAACTGTACCTGGAATACACACACACATGCCTCCACTGGTAAGTTGTTATGCAACAATGTGTCAATCACAGTCTCTTTTTTAAAAAAGGGGATTGGAACTCCACTCCTCTTTCAAATGTGTTATGTATTTATTTAGACAGGAAAGTAGGGAGACAGACAGCAGGGGATAGACAGTATTAAAGGTGGCGGTGTGGGGATTCTAACCTCGCCGCGGGGTGGTACAATACAAGTGGTCCGGAGGCTGCTGTGTTGACCGCTAGGCCAGCCTCTCTATGTAGTTAGGTTATGTTGACAATGTTTCATTTCTTATGTCACAGTGCGAGCCGTCATTTGGGGGAGTCTAGTGTGTGAAAGTTTTGTTAACGCTCAGTGCTGCCCCATCTCATTGAATAACTCAAATCTGTGTGTGATTTAAAAAAGTTATCGGTTGAAGGATATGCATATGGTGTATTAGAAGCAATTATTTGTACCATGATTGTCTTCGAATTTGTATTTTATTTACATGAAGATTGACCATGAAGATGGCCATTTTCCCATTCACAATGCCTGCGGTACCGCAGTCAGCCTTGAACTTCTGTGGCTTCAATGAGAGGGGTCTGTCGTTCTGTTCCAAACCCTCTTAAACATTGTGTGTTTGCACTAGAGCTTTTTTTTGCATTGGATTCCTCCATTTCTTCTGCATCTGCTGATGCCGACCATTAGCCTGTGCAATTGATGGGGGCTGATCTAGAGCGGTGTTTGTGAGACCAGGGCAGATCCCCAAAACTGTTCTTATCACAAAAACGTCATTAAAGTCCAAGAAGTTTGAGCTACAAACTATTATGACTCCACTATGAAAAGCTGAGACTGTTTTGCTCTATGACACTCACGCCGCACAAGAGTCGCTAGAAGGTAAGGGTTCTTCTACATAGATCATACACAATTATTGCTAGAAGGTAAGGGTTCTTCTACATAGATCATACACAATTATTGCTAGAAGGTAAGGGTTCTTCTACATAGATCATACACAATTATTGCTAGAAGGTAAGGGTTCTTCTACATAGATCATACACAATTATTGCATTGTGATCGTCCCTGATGTTTTCCTGAGCTTTGCTATATCTCTCAGGTGCATTTCAGAATTATCTTGTGAATATTAAAGTTTATTTCACCAAGTTCAATTTCTGCCCAGGACTTAGTGTCCATAATATTGTAACAAGATCACATAGTTACTGTCACAAACTCCAAACTCCACACAGTTGTCACTGACTAGTTGGATAATAATTTACCACCAAGGAAACCATTTATGCAATACATTTTTTAAAGAGGTTTTTGCTTGGCATACCTTTTTTTATTGACATTTGTCAATAAAACTCATGAATGTAACTGTTTTGTGTTCTACTTGTAGCCCTGGTTGTACTGACAATAAAATGATAAAACAATTCAATGTGAGGCTAAATAAGGGTAGGGCAAGCAGGTAAACTAAAGTATTGAATTTCAGGTTTCAGATTCAGGGATTGGCTGGGCATTAAAATATGAATTTGCTGCGTTCCATCATTATAATGAAAATTATTTTTACGAACACCAGCTCAGAACAAGACATGAACATAGGGTTTTGTATGTAGAGGAGTGAGTGGAATTTGTCACTTTCTCATCTACTTACTGTATGCATGGAATGTTTGTCCTTTGGTGGTTGCATTACTCCTCCTAAACAGTCCAGAGTTTGTAGTTTGGGAGGACACCAGAATTGTTTCACCACAACCGATAGCACCCGCCTTTTGGTTTATGAGATTACTGTTAGCTTTAGTTTATTATTTCGTTTATTCCAGGATGCTGACGTTGGCTAATGAGTAACATCACAAATGTCACTTCTGGCTCCAGTCTGATACAGTTTGACAGAGTGCTACTCTAATCACACCAAATGCAGCTCCCCTGATGGGTGATTTGACCAGTTTGGTGACCTTTGCAATTGCTTCTTGTCATTGCAGACGATTTTGGACAGCGTGCCCTTGTGGGCAAGGTGTGTATGGACACAAACAACTTTGTCCCACATTACAAAGAGACGGCAGAAGAGTCCCAAGACGAAACCAATAGGTAGGTAATAGATAGGAGAGGGGGCAAGCCTGTATACATAATAGAGTTAAATGATTAGAACAGGAGCTTTGCACAGGAGGGGTTTATGGGCTCTCACAATGGCTTTTTGACTCTTTTATGACTCAAGACCGTAAGGTGACATGGAAAATAATGTCCTCGGAGGAGGATAGAAGATAAACTATTCTATTTTATTCTATTATATGTATAAGCAGGTGGTGGAAGCCTAAATCATGTGCACTTCTCTTGAGAGCTCGAAGACATTTATGCATAAAAAAATGACCAAATGAGCAAGAACAATGACTAAGAAAAGCATCATATTGAGCTTGTGCAGCAAGAACCAATGGGTACAGACAAATTTAATTCTAGACTTTACATGAGTTTATGGGACCCTCTAGCACAGGGATTCACAAACTTTTTTGGCCCACCCCATTTTGATATCTGGACCCCAACCATGTGAAAAAAATTATGTAATTTACAGCCAATGTTTCTTTCTTTATTTGGGGCTATGGCAGTCAATTGAAAAACATTCTAACAGTATTTCTGATTGTCTTCTCAACTCACCATCACATGCTTTTAATGTGGGGCTATGACAGTCAATTGCAAATTAGTCTTGACAGAATGTATCTTATCTCACCACCACTAATGAGAGGGGTGTGCTTGATGCATGTCGCGTCAGAGCTTCTCAAAGTCAGGGGGCGTGGTCGACAGTGCGCACCTCATCTCTGCTGTCACATAATAATAATATGCCATTTAGCAGACGCTTTTATCCAAAGCGACTTACAGTCATGTGTACATACATTTTTACGTATGGATGGTCCCGGGGATCGAACCCACTACCATGGCGTTACAAACGCCATGCTCTACCAATTGAGCTACAGAGGACCACATCCAACCTGGATCGATATTTGGTTTTAATGCAGGCGAGAGCACTGAATCCAGGTTCACACAGACATGAGCTGGCGAAGGGTACCATGAGTGTTATGGTTCTTTCAATACTGGGAACTCGGAAAAATACTAGGTCAGTAAGTCGGAGCTCTAGAAATAGACCAGAGTTCCCGAGTTGGAATTCCGAGTTGGGAGACCGTTCAAAACGATTTTTCACAGTTGTATATAGTTTTTTTTCAGAGTTCCCAGTTGTCTTGAATGCACTGAAGTCGGAAGTCGTAGATTTCCGAGTTCCCAGTTGTTATGAATGCGGCATTAATGCTCAGAGGGACAAGTCAGGAACCAAAACTCCTCCGTAGTGACCCGTGAATGCATTCGGTCACATTCATCTGTTTTTCGTCAATATAGCCACACTGAACATCCCTGGTGCCGTTTCATGCTTGGGAATCATGAGACAGAAAAATATGTCCTCGTGAATAGCATCCCCCAACATGTATAGCGAACAAAAGTTAATGCATGTGCATCTCGGCCCTCACAGGTAACGTCCATTTGGAGAGCGTAAATTGGGGCGTTTTTGACTCGTTTAGTCAGTTTCCTCTTGATTGCTAGCAATAGCGTAAATTATTTGTTTAACAGTTTTATCTGACAAGGGTATTGATGTGAGTTTCTGTGTCTCTGCCTCCCCACTCATTGTTTTCACCATATCAATTGCGGCCGGTAATATCAAAGTATCTGCAATAGTGTGTGGTTTCATAGCATAGCGGGCCTAGCCATTCACCATGGGAATGATTTCAAATGCAACAGTCAAGTGCAGCCTTTTCCCATGATCTAAGGGCGTTCTCAGATTTAATTGTATCATTTAGATTAGAATAATTTTCATTTAGATTTTTAAGGTTAACCACATTACAATGATTTTGAGATACAAAGATGATATAATATATATTTTTCTATATATATTTTTTTCTTCTCAGGATTTTGTAAATTCACCCGCGACCCCATTCTCATATCAGTTTCGACCCCTAGTTTGGGAACTGCTACTCTAACCTCACAATATATCTCACAACATTTGTCATATTTAAAATAAAATAAAGATGTTGGAGAATAAAAAAATCTCTCCCGTCTTTCCAAGTATTGCCCTCAGAAAACAAAATTAAGCAAATTCATCCTCAGCTAATCTGAAAGGAGAAATTAGTGATGAAATCATTGGCTCTGAGCCAGTTGCTGCAGTCTGAAAAACAGGATTCAGACGTTCCTTACACACACATATTGCTCAACACACGTCTAGGGGTGTATTAATTAGGAACCAAACAGAGGCGATTGGAAGGAGAGGGACCTACCTGAAATTCGTTTTCAATGTGAAACGTTTTTCGTTTAGAGTAAACAGTTTCTGTTGCAAAACATTTTGATATGGTGTGCAACTAAAGAATACACCTCAGCAGTCTCAACTCCTGAGTCAATAGTTTTTTTTGGTTGGTTGTGTCTGGTAATACAGCATTCTTCTTTTGAAGAAAGAAAAAAAAGTGTTGTTGATTATTGTTTTGTGTTGCTCTAGGTTCATTGGTGAGCTCTTGAAGAATAAGGTAAGACTCCTTAGCCCCAATAGCACAGGCTGTTTCTAAGTATAATATAATCTAAGGGAACATGTACAAGTCAGTGGCAATGTAGGGATTGTATCCCTCCCCAAATAATAATATCACAGACACATTTGTGATCAGAATCTGTGAAAGGAGCTTTTTAGGGTTTTGCTCACTGGGTGTCTTTCTGTCTTGTTTGGGGCAGTACCCCCTTGTAAGGCCGGTGGTAACCCCGCGCTTCGCCCCATCCTGCTCCTCCGCCTTGCTGGGTCACCTGGGAGAGATCGCCCAGAACAACAACCTGCACATCCAGGTGAGCCTTGTCAGCCTGTCGCCACAGTAACCAAGTCAAGAGGATCCCATGGGAGTGTTGCTTTGAGGATAATTTATTTATCTGTATTTATCTCCCTTCCATTCTCTCCCTCTCACTATCTCTCTCTTGCATTCATACAAATTGATAATCACCTGAAGATTCAAACAATTAATTGATCGTCTCTGTGATCCCCAGAGTCACATCAGTGAGACGAAGGAGGAGGTGAAGCTGGTGAAGGAGCTGTTCCCAGACTACGACTCCTACACAGACGTCTACCACAAACACAACCTTCTCACTGACAAGGTTAGCCCAACACAAACACACACACACACACACACACACTACAATGACATTCTATGGATAATGAAGATCATAATATTGCTGATTATAATGATAGTGGTGGTAATAGTTGTAAGGATCATGATGATGATATTGGTGATGATGATTATAATGATAGCGGTGGTAATGGTAGTAATTATACTGATGTTGTTGATGATGATGGTGGTGTGATGGTTCACAGACGGTGATGGCTCACGGTTGTCACCTAACCGATGAAGAGCTGAAGCTGTTCAGAGAGAAAGGGGCGTCCGTCGCTCACTGTCCCAATTCCAACATCTCGTAAGTGTTTCTCATTACCCTACAGTTCACGTTCCCTGACTACCCCTGTGTCTACCCAAGGGTCATTGATGGAAGATGTGAAATGAAAGACCAAAGAATCAGGATTTAAAAATAAGTCATGATTCTTATTTTTATATCATACCCTATCCAGTTAAGAACACAGCAGTGATACTAGATATCATATCAGCACTGAAGATAGAACCCACCCATATTCTCTCATCTCCCTCTCATTTCTCTCTCTCCAGGTTGTGCAGTGGTATGCTAGATGCCCGCAGGGTTCTGAACCACAAAGTAAAGCTGGGGCTGGGCACAGGTGAGTCCATGACAACACACTACAAAGCAGATCATCTTCCTTTTACCTGAGAGCACAATGTTCTGTATTGTTTTTAGCCTATGTCTAATGTAATATCCCTGAATGTCCATATTTTTAATTTGTAACTAAATCAAGGCAATCGTGATTGAGTTATATAATAATCTATATATTTTTATAAAATGAAATTATAGTCTAATAAAGTTATTTGAAATGGCACAGATAATATTTTTTTCTAACAATTATTATTTTACATTCATTATGATTTTGGATGATCCTAATAGGTTGTTTTTTCATTGAGGGCGGCAGTAGGGAACCTAGAACCTAGACGAAAGTTGCCGCTGTCTGGTATCAAACTGGCTTGACACTGTAACAACATGAGATAAGCTGATCTGCTGGTTTATTTTAGCACAAAGGTGCATGTTATCTCCCGTTAGTATAGTTTTTAGAAAACCAGCGCTTATTTGTTGCAATTGGCTCTGTGTTTAACGCATTAATACATTTATCTGTGTATGCACTTGTGCGTGTGTCTGTCTGTGTTTCCGGCCTTGTAGATGTGGCAGGAGGCTACTCTCCCTCTATGCTGGATGCTGTGCGGAGAACGTTGGACACCTCTAAAGCCTTGACCATCCAGGACCCCCAGTACCAAACGCTCACCTTCGAGGAGGTCTTCAGACTGGCCACACTGGGAGGAAGCCAAGGTGGGAGACCTGGCCGGGGGGGGGGGGGGGGGGGTTAGAGTCATCATCACCACTATTAAATCAATACATCAATCAGTATGAATGATTTGATACATGATGATTTATGAATTGATACAGATGCATGCGCTCAAAAGTTAATTTTCAAAATGCCTGTGCTGCAGCATCGATACATTGCTCATAGGACAAACTCTCTCATAGAGTGATGCCAAGCGAACAAGTTTAATTTGCAATCACCTAAACTGCAATGAAATATATTCCACTGACGGTACAGGTATAGCTACTTTGCAGCACATGTTTTTGACCTGCACTACAGTCAAAAACCTTTTAATGAACCCAACAGTACATCGATGTATTTGTTTATTGATGCCTTGATTGATGAATAATTTATTGATATTCTGAGATCTGGATTGATTGTTTGGTTTGTAGCCCTGTCCCTGGATGCGCATACAGGAAACTTTAAGGTGGGGAAAGACTTTGATGCTCTGCGGGTAAACACGGCCATAGAAGGAGGACCCATTGACCTCATCAACCACGGAGAGGGGCCTAAGGTAGGAACCAATCTCCCAATACATAGAGCAGGGATCATCAACTAGATTCAGCTGCTGCCAATTCTTTCTTGAGCAGATGGTCAGGGGGTCGGAACATAATTACAAATAATTTGTAGATAGCAAATTGATCGCAAGAAGCCCAAACAGATAAAATATTTGACTAAAACATAATAATTTCAAACATTGCTTTCATTTGTATATGATCACATACCTGTATATCTCTCTATTATGCGTGGGAATACATTGAAACAGATTTCCAAAATTAAAATAACTTTGAGCTGATTTGTCGGTGTTTTTACCCCCCCGAAAAGAATGCTCAGAAAACTTGTGGGCCAAATCAAATGGGGAACCATGACTACGTTGGCCTCCAATGGTGTTGAAATATCACTGCTGTTACCTGTTGAGTCATTCTGTCTAAACCAAATCATGAGGCTCACCACTCCAAGTCTATGTCCAGTCTTGATTTATCAACTATGTGACGTGAATCAGACTTGAAACCAAATTATAGGAATCTAGTCCACAACTCAGGATGTGACTGAATCACTCCCATGACATGACATTAATCTTGGCTCCATTTGATTTCAGGTGCTCCTGGAGAAGTTCTTGAATTTGGGTAAGTGTTTCGTTTCTGTTTCTGTCTCTCTCACACAATATGTTAAATGTATTCAGTCTTGGCTGGGGCCTTTACATGCCATGAAAGTATTGTGGCGAATTCAAGGATAGCCACGGTCCTTGCAGCTGTCAGCCAAGAGGTCCGAAATTCTTGATGAGGTCACTAGGTGTTGTAAAATCGCTAAAGTATGTTCAGGTTATTTTTTCCTTCTTTGTTCCCCCTTTCCCTTCCTCCTTCAGGGGATGATCGGAACATTGCGGAGGTGTACGTGGCAGGGAAGAGAGTGGTCCCATTCGTAGAGAGACCATAGAGTTGGGATTGGTTGCTGGCTTGTTGTCATCTTGTTACCATCTGTCTGAACCCTCTACCAGTCTACTTGACTGCTGTTGTAACAGGACAGGAGGCGATGAGGAAAATGTATTCAACAAGAAGAATTATTACTGTATATAGAGTATGTGTGTTCAATCATCCCAAAGTCGATCCTAGGGACCCCAAGGGGTGAACGTTTTGGTTTTTGCTCTAACACTACACAGCTGATTCAAATTATCAAAGCTTGATGATTAGTGAATTATTTGAATCAGCTGTGTAGTGCTAGGGCAAAAACCAAAACGTGCACCCCTTGGGGTCCTGAGGACCGAGTTTGGGAAGCGCTGATCTAGTGTACTTACGTACAGTACAATCCAATAGATGGCATTGCTGCTCATCGTGAAGTTCAGAGTGAATCCTATGTTGGTTGTCATACTTAGGTAGTAACCCAAAGAACATCATTGTCTATGTTGTTTTTGTTATTTCAAAGTCAAGGGAAATGTGTGTGTTTATGAATGTACACTTCCAGTCAAAAGTTTTAGAACACCTACTCGTTCAAGGGTTTTTCTTTATTTTAGTATTTTCTACATTGCAGAATAATAGTGAAGACATCAAAACTATGAAATAACACATATGGAATCATGTAGTAACCAATAAAGTGTTAAACAAATCAAAATATAGATTCTTCAAATAGCCACCCTTTGCTTTGATGACAGCTTTGCACACTCTTGGCATTCTCTCAACCAGCTTCATGAGGTAGTCACCTGGAATGCATTTCAATTAAGAGGTGTGCCTTGTTAAAAGTTAATTTGTGGAATTTCTTTCCTTCTTAATGAGTTTGAGCCAATCAGTTGTGTTGTGACAAGGTAGGGGGTGTATACAGAATATGGCCCTATTTGGTAAAAGACCAAATCCATATTATGGCAAGAACAACTCAAATAAGCAAAAATAAACGACAGTCCATCATTACTTTAAGACATGAAGGTCAGTCAATACGGAAAATTTCAAGAACTTTGGTAAAAACCATCAAGCGCTATGATGAAACTGGCTCTCATGAGGACCGCCACAGGAATGGAAGACCCAGAGTTACCTCTGCTGCAGAGGATAAGTTCATTAGAGTTACCAGCCTTGGAAATTGCAGCCCAAATAAATGCTTCACAGAGTTCAAGTAACAGACACATCTCAACATCAACTGTTCAGAGGAGACTGTGTGTTCCTGAGAGGGAACTTCATGTACGGTGACTGGTTGATATAAACAAGATATATAACAACACAGCAACATAGAACACGAGAACATGTACAATATAATAGATTAGATTAGAAGCAATCTATGCAATCATAGGCTATATATACACATATATAAAAATAAGAACTTCAAGAGTTGAGGAGTTTGATGGATGTTGGCACAAAACTAGAAGCTGTTCTCTTAGACTTGTATGCCAGGGATCTATATCTGCGCCCGGAGGGAAGGGAGTTGTACTGGTCCAAGGCTTTTCTCTGTGTGTAATGTCCAAGGCATGTCTGTATCTTTGTATTTGTCCGGCTTTTTCAGCATCCTCGACTTCGTCTCGGGCCTAGCAACACCCGTGCCAATATATCCTCCAAATACCAGTTTCTCTGGCATTATCACTTACGGGTAATTATTGTGCCACTGCTGTTCCGCGCTACAGTGCTGAGTTTAGCCGAAAAAGCTACAAAGTAAAAGGGACAAATATTCTGAAAGATTTTAGTAAGGTGTATTTGCATGATTTTAAGTGAAAATGTGTCTCTTTGTTTGTAACATTTTACGAGAGTATTCACGCCTGGAGGCAAATAATTAGCTTTGTCAAAGGATAAAACGTAGGGTTATATGAAAATATAGAGGCTGAACACTACAAACAGCATAGCTTAAACATTATTTTGTTAAAGCATACATTCCTCTATGGCAGATACACTTTCCCTGTCTCTCACTCACACACGTATATCTACTGCATTGTAGACCCATCTGTGTGTGACAGATGAAAAGCTAGAAGTGACCATGTCCATTTGACAGCCTACCATAGCCAATGTGGGACATCTGTCATAGACAGGTTTTCAGACAGGTCCACTATAAGGACTACAGAGATTAAAGTTTCTGGTCTACAGCAAACATGTCCCAAAACAATGGATGATCCAATTCCATAAGATGATTTATCATAATTGTCAGCAGTGCTTAATTTTGGACTGTTTCGTTCTGGAACCTATTTGGCCGGATCGCAATAATTGAAATACAATAACTGTACATCATTGGTTGAGTCAGTGAAACTGGAAAAAAAATGTAGGACTATACTTTTCTCCTCATAATGTATGACTACAATTGGTCTCCACACACCTAGGCCTAGGCTATTGATGGATTCAAGACAAGGTCGTTTTTATTGATCTCAGTTTGTCAGTGTCAAAGTAGCCTGTCATTAGGATCATTAAAAAATATTCTGCCAAAGTCTCCAGTTGTGTAAAATGACATATAATTGCATGAAATGCGTTTTTAAAAGGCCACATTTTTCCCGGACCCCTTGGCTACTAAAAATGTTCCCCATGTGTGCAACTTTTGTAAGTGCCTCTACTCTACTGCTCTATGCCACTACGCAAATGCGATGATATGCATGCAATGTTTTATTTTAAAATGTATGCGTTCCAGTACCTCAGCGCTTACCAGGTCACCCCCTCTCACGCTCACTTTTTGTTCCCATCACCTCCCGATTGACAAATTAAGCACTGATTGTCAGTGTATGTGGTCCTCTGTAGCTCAGTTGGTAGAGCACGGCGCTTGTAACGCCAAGGTAGTGGGTTCGATCCCCGGGACCCCATACACAAAAACAAAACATGTATGCACGCATGACTGTAAGTCGCATTGGATAAAAGCGTCTGCTAAATGGCATATTATTATTACTTCACCTGTAGGTAGGCTTCCCCTAAGTGACTGATAACATTTACAGCATATGTGCCAAAAAAAATACTAAAATAAACATGTAACGGAGTTAAGAACATATCGTGAACTCACTCCACAGCCATCTTGAAATGTCGCGGATGGAGCCATTCAATTGGTACCTTTTGGGTGGCTCAACCCGTTGGAAAGTTGTGAAGGAGGGCTGTCACGATATGTTCTTAACTCCATTAAACATGTACATTTGGAAAAAAATGTTTTAGCACATGCTGTACATGTTATCAGTGCAAAGCAGAGGATCACTGGTTGAGACCAGTATGGGGCAGTCGTACAGTGGAGGTTAACCTAACCCCCGTTACACATGATACCGCTCTGTTCTGCTGATCAAGGGACTGAGCTCATTGATCCATAGAGGAAATCAACCTTATAACATTTTGATTAAACTGCTGGGACTAGTTTGATTATTCCAATTTAAATTCCATCTTCTATAGGCCTACACACAGTATTTTTAAATATACATTATTGAGTTTTCAACATCCTAATACCTATCAACATTGGATGTTATACTATTTATATTTAATTGCTTTTATACCAATTCCTTAAGGTAAATCAAATGAATGGAAGCGGTATGAAGCTTACTTAGGAGCTATGTATGAATGTAGCCTCTATACCTATTTATGTGTTGAATTTGTCATCACTTCAAATATATTTTCTGCTTATGAAACATACAGACTTATGACAGATTCTAGACTGAGCTAGACGCATCGATATCCGTTTTAAACACTTTGTAACGGTTGGGGTTCTTGAACATTCCCCATAATTCCACACCCGATGTCAACGCCCCGGACCCGAACACCCTACAGTCGGATTGTAACACCAGGAAGTAAACGGTAGATTGGAAAGGATATTGTAAACCGATGGCTGTTTTTAGATACGGTTTTTATTGCCAGTTAAACTGTTGTCTAAGTAAATAATAACGTTGATCTGACTGTTGCATCGAATTTCGCACCCACAAATAAACTGTTATTGGCGATAGTACGTTTGGTCTATGTAGTGTTAATGTATGTGCTGTTTGTTGTTGGCAACGATATCCCTAAATCAAAGGTTGTTATTTGAAGGTACAGCTGATAAACCTTTTACGGTAAATTATACAGTAGGACCGACATACTTGGTACTTTCAACAATACGGACGTCCCCCTTCGCCTCCCTCTGGCTCAAGGGTTGCTGCGAAACATTTGTCAGCCGATCTCGTAAGTTTTATTCTATTTTAAATATGTGAAAAATGTAGTTTTTGTATTTCATCTTTATTTTCACTGTGTGTGTGAACTGTAGACTGTAGCTTTTTTACAATGTTATTACTCTCTTTACTACAATCTAATTACTTAAACTGCAGCCCTTCAACTGCATATATTTTCCATACCTGCAAGGACACAATGGTGCCAGTATTGTAGACAACATTGAACCTTGAACCAGCGAGAGGCCACCTGAGTCAGCTGAGAGTTGGAGATGCCTCTATTCCGTGCCATGATGGAGCCCAGGGCTGAGAAACAGGTAGTGAGGAAGAGGAAGATTAGAGGACGAGGAAGATGGGAGGAGGATGATGGTCACCCTCCCCGACTGACCCAGCTTTGTCTGCGGAACTTGGCAGAGAACATGAAGGAAGTGTGGGTCAAAGACTACACTGACAACTACATGGATCAGTACTCCTTCAGATATGTAATGGGCCCCTTCAACCTGCTGCGTGAGTCTGTCACAGGAACTGGAAGGGAATGTGTATGTGTATGTATATGCCGCCATTTCTGGTCATTTGTAAATGTGCACATGATTAGTCCACTTGTTACTGGTAAAAGTGTGTGTGTCTGTGTGTCCCCTCTCTCTGTCTGTTTCTCTCTCTAGCGGCTGAGCTGGTAGAGGAGCTCCTGTCTGTCCTGTCCTCCATGCGTGAGTTGTCCCGTGCGGCGCTGCACCTCCTGTTGATCCCTCAGCTCAGAACCCTATCTCTTGGGGGCTACTCTGCCCTGGTCACCCCCAGCCTCTGCACCCTCATCGGGACTCGCTGCCAGGTTAGGACAGGCTTTGGTCCCCCTTATAATCTATAGTACAGTGAGGGAAAAAAGTATTTGATCCCCTGCTGATTTTGTACATTTGCCCACTGACAAAGACATGATCAGTCTATAATTTTAATGGTAGGTTTATTTGAACAGTGAGAGACAGAATAACAACAAAAACATCCAGAAAAACGCATGTCAAAAATGTTATAAATTGATTTGCATTTTAATGAGGGAAATAAGTATTTGACCTCTCTGCAAAACATGACTTAGTACTTGGTGGCAAAACCCTTGTTGGCAATCACAGAGGTCAGACGTTTCTTGTAGTTGGCCACCAGGTTTGCACACATCTCAGGGGGGATTTTGTCCCACTCCTCTTTGCAGATCTTCTCCAAGTCATTAAGGTTTCGAGGCTGACGTTTGGCAACTCGAACCTTCAGCTCCCTCCACAGTTTTTCTATGGGATTAAGGTCTGGAGACTGGCTAGGCCACTCCAGGACCTTAATGTGCTTCTTCTTGAGCCACTCCTTTGTTGCCTTGGCCGTGTGTTTTGGGTCATTGTCATGCTGGAATACCCATCCACGACCCATTTTCAATGCCCTGGCTGAGGGAAGGAGGTTCTCACCCAAGATTTGACGGTACATGGCCCCGTCCATCGTCCCTTTGATACAGTGAAGTTGTCCTGTCCCCTTAGCAGAAAAACACCCCCAAAGCATAATGTTTCCACCTCCATGTTTGACAGTGGGGATGGTGTTCTTGGGGTCATAGGCAGCATTCCTCCTCCTCCAAACACGGCGAGTTGAGTTGATGCCAAAGAGCTCCATTTTGGTCTCATCTGACCACAACACTTTCACCCAGTTCTCCTCTGAATCATTCAGATGTTCATTGGAAAACTTCAGATGGGCCTGTATATGTGCTTTCTTGAGCAGGGGGACCTTGCGGGCGCTGCAGGATTTCAGTCCTTCACGGCGTAGTGTGTTACCAATTGTTTTCTTGGTGACTATGGTCCCAGCTGCCTTAAGATCATTGACAAGATCCTCCTGTGTAGTTCTGGGCTGATTCCTCACCGTTCTCATGATCATTGCAACTCCACCAGGTGAGATCTTGCATGGAGCCCCAGGCCGAGGGAGATTGACAGTTCTGTTGTGTTTCTTCCATTTGCGAATAATCGCACCAACTGTTGTCACCTTCTCACCAAGCTGCTTGGCGATGGTCTTGTAGCCCATTCCAGCGTTGTGTAGGTCTACAATCTTGTCCCTGACATCCTTGGAGAGCTCTTTGGTCTTGGCCTGGTGGAGAGTTTGGAATCTGATTGATTGATTGCTTCTGTGGACAGGTGTCTTTTATACAGGTAACAAGCTGAGATTAGGAGCACTCCCTTTAAGAGTGTGCTCCTAATCTCAGCTCGTTACCTGTATAAAAGACACCTGTGAGCCAGAAATCTTTCTGATTGAGAGGGGGTCAAATACTTATTTCCCTCATTAAAATGCAAATCAATTTATAAACATTTTTACATGCATTTTTCATGATTTTTTTGTTGTTATTCTGTCTCTCACTGTTCAAATAAACCTAACCATAAAAATTATAGACTGATCATTTCTTTGTCAGTGGGTAAACGTACAAAATCAGCAGGGGATCAAATACTTTTTTCCCTCACTGAATGTGTTATGTATGTGTTACAGTGAGCTCCAAAAGTATTGGGACAGTGACACATTTCTTGTTATTTTGGCTCTGTACTCCAGCACTTTGGATTTGAAATGATATAATGACTATGAAGTTAAAGTACAGACTGACAGCTATAATTTGAGGGTATTTTCATCCATATTGTGTGAACCGTTTAGAAACGACAGCACTTTTTGAACATAGTCCCCCCATTTTAGGTGACCAAAAGTATTGGAACAAATTAACTTGTGTGTATTAAAGTAGTCAAAAGTTTAGTATTTGGTCCCATATTCCTAGAACGCAATGATTACATCAAGCTTGTGACTAGAAACTTGTTGGATGCATTTGCTGTTTGTTTTGGTTGTGTTTCAGAATAATTTGTGCTCAATACAAATTCATTGTAAATAATCTATTGTGTTATTTTGGAGTCACTTTTATTGTAAATAAGAATAGAATATGTAGCAACACTTCTACATTAATGTGGATGCTACCATGATTATGGATAATCCTGAATGAATTGTAAAGAATGATGAGTGAGAAAGTTAGATGCACAAATATGATAACCTCTCACCATTACAGTAACAGGGGAGGTTAGCATTTATGGGGGGGTATGACATTTATGCCTCTAACTTTCTCACTCATCGTCACTCAGTGCTGGAGTACAGAGCCAAAACAACAATAAATGTGTCACTGTCCCAATAATTTTTGGAGCTCACTGTATGTATGGGTTCTCACTATCTCCCTCAGAGCCTGCACTCCATGGACCTCTCTGGAGCCCAGCAGGTGTCTGCCCATGTCCAGTGTGACCTGCTGGGTTGTCTGCCTTCCCTGCGCTCCCTCTCTCTAGCTGGCACCCCTTGTGACAGACAGGTTGTGGCGGTGGTCGCCCGCCACTGCCCCGCGCTGCGCCACCTCGACGTGTCCCGCTGCCGCTTCCTGCCCCCCGAGGGCCTTCTCTGCCTGGGGGGTTCCTCCTACGCCCCTCCACCCCCCCTCGGCAGCCTGTTGGCTCTGGATGGGGGCTTTGGGGAGGGGGACGGGGTGGCTGCCGTGGCCTTCCTCCTGCTCTCCCTGCCCTGGCTGGAGAGAGTGGCAATGGAGGGCCTGGGGGAGGCCTGTGGCCTCATACACAGCAGGGAGTTCGGAGGGACTGAGGAGCTCACGACCAGAGAGGGGCTGCCCAGTCTCTGGGAGGTGTGGAGGGAGAGGAGGCAGAGTGGGAGGGCCACAGACACAGGCCAGATATCAGGAGCAGATGTGGAGGAAATTGAAGAGGAGGAAAACGACAACCGTTTCTCATGGGCGAGTGAGAGTGAGAGTGAGGATGAGGGTACAGGTGAGGAGACAATGGGAGATGGAGGTGGAAGAAGTGATGCCCAGATGAGGACAAGGAAGGAAATAGAAGAAGACAGTGTTGAGAAAGGAAGAGAAGAGGGAGTGGGGGGGGCAGGGGGTGAGGGCTTTACCTTACGTCTAAGGGAGGCGCAGGGCATGTCTGGTGGGACTCTGGAAGCTGTAAGTCAGCTTTGCCCCGAGCTGCGCTCTATATCACTGGACTGTGAGGAGGACGGGCCTAGCCAGGGGTCTTGTCTGGCTGCAGGCCTAGCCAGGTGGGCGGGCCAGCTGAGGGTACTCTCTGTGCGCTTCCCGGGGCCCCTGGATGAGCTGCTGCCTGCCCTGCGTGCTATGAAGGGCTTCCTGGTTTCTCTCACCCTGGAGGGGGTCAGAACCAGCTCTCACACACCCGTGCTGGAGCTCCTCCATGCCTGTCCCAGGCTGAGGAGCCTCGTCGTCCACGCTGAGCCTCCTTTAGCCCCCCAGGAGGAAGAAGAGGATGAGGAAGAGGACAGGGATCTACCCTGCCTACCCCAATTGTGCTCTCTCTCCCTAAAGTAGGTAAACTGCTGCACTGTCAAGAGGTATGACTCAAAGGGTCACATGCCAACTGGGAATCCCCAGTCATTTTCTATGCAGGTCCTGTCTTTGAGAGTGGGTCATGTGATCCCCTGTACCTTCTGGGTATCTGTATTTAGTGTTGCACCAGGATGTAAGCCCCCCCCCCCCACACACATACACACACCATGGTGTTGACTGCACCATTGTGTAAGTTTCTGTATATCCCTTCCCGTTGAAGTTGTGTGATATCCTGTTCAGTGCTCATCTGTCTCTGTCTCTGTCTCCTCCAGCTTCTCCTTTGACCAGCGCCAGATGAAGACCGTCATGTCCTGGAGGTCTCTGAGGGGGGCGCTATGGTGCCTACTGTCCGGCTCTCCCCTCCTGGAGAGGGTCTCTCTGGTGGCAGTGCCCTGTCCGCTGGAGCCTGTGTTCCAGAAGCTTCTGAAGCGCCCCGCCACCCGACCCCACAGTCCTCCACTACAACAACTATGCCACCTCAGCCTTGTCCGCAGTGACATTTCCATCGAGACGGCGTTGGGCCTGATGACCGCCAACAGGCGTCTGAGCAGCCTGGACCTGAGCGGCTGCTGGGCAGTGAGCCTGGACAACATGAGGCAGTTACAGAGGACAGCCACCAGGAGACGACATATCACTATCACCTGGACATGATGTGCTTTACATCTGACAACAGGCTACCAGGCCGGGGCACCCGCATTCACACATACTGGATGTTTGGGGCAAATCCAACACAGAGTCCCACTCTTGATATTTTCAAACATGGTGGTGGCTGCATCATGTTATTTGTATGCTTGTCATTGGCAAGTACTAGGGGGTTTTATAGGATAAAAATAAACAGAATAGAGCTAAGCACAGGCAAAATCCTAGAGGAAAACCTGGTTCAGTCTGCTTTCCAACAAACACTGGGAGACAAATTCACCTTTAAGCAGGACAATAACCTAAAACATAAGGCCAAATATACACAGTGGCCTAGAGTTTTGACTTAAATCAGCTTGAAAATGGCTGTCTAGCAATGATCAACAACCAACTTGACAGAGTTTGAAGAATGATTTAAAGAATAATGTGCAAATATTGTGCAAAGCTTCTAGAGATCTACCCAGAAAGACTCACAGCTGTAATCACTGCCAAAGGTGATTCTAACATGAATTGACTCAGGGGTGTGAATACTTATGTAAATGAGAGTTCTGTATTTAATTTTCAATACATTTGCAAACATTTCTAAAAACATTCACTTTGTCATTATGGGGTATTGTGTGTAGATGGGCGAGATAAAAAATATATATACATTTTGAATTCAGGCTGTAACAACAAAATGTGGAATAAGTCAAGGAGTATGAATACTTTCTGAAGGCACTGTATGTGATCGTGTCTCAATGTAATGAAAGTATGAGCCTTAGTTGTGGTCAATTTGCAGTGTACAAATTATTATAATTATGTTCCGGCCCTCCGACCATCCACTCCGACAAGAATTGGCCGAGGCTGATTGCCTACCCCTGTTGTAGAATATACACTGCTCAAAAAAATAAAGGAAACACTTAAACAACACAATGTAACTCCAAGTCAATCACACTTCTGTGAAATCAAACTGTCCACTTAGGAAGCAACACTGATTGACAATAAATTTCACATGCTGTTGTGCAAATGGAATAGACAACTGGTGGAAATTATAGGCAATTAGCAAGACACCCCCAATAAAGAAGTGGTTCTGCAGGTGTTGACCACAGACCACTTCTCAGTTCCTATGCTTCCTGGCTGATGTTTTGGTCACTTTTGAATGCTGGCGGTGCTTTCACTCTAGTGGTAGCATGAGACGGAGTCTACAACCCACACAAGTGGCTCAGGTAGTGCAGCTCATCCAGGATGGCACATCAATGCGAGCTGTGGCAAGAATGTTTGCTGTGTCTGTCAGCGTAGTGTCCAGAGCATGTAGGCGCTACCAGGAGACAGGCCAGTACATCAGGAGACGTGGAGGAGGCCGTAGGAGGGCAACAACCCAGCAGCAGGACCGCTACCTCCGCCTTTGTGCAAGGAGGAGCAGGAGGAGCACTGCCAGAGCCCTGCAAAATGACCTCCAGCAGGCCACAAATGTGCATGTGTCTGCTCAAACTGTCAGAAACAGACTCCATGAGGGTGGTATGAGGGCCCGACGTTCACAGGTGGGGGTTGTGCTTACAGCCCAACACCGTGCAGGACGTTTGGCATTTGCCAGAGAACACCAAGATTGGCAAATTCACCACTGGCACCCTGTGCTCTTCACAGATGAAAGCATGTTCACACTGAGCACATGTGACAGACGTGGCAGATTCTGGAGACGTGGAGAACATTCTGCTGCCTGCAACATCCTCCAGCATGACCGGTTTGGCGGTGGGTCAGTCATGGTGTGGGGTGGCATTTCTTTGGGGGGCCGCACAGCCCTCCATGTGCTCGCCAGAGGTAGCCTGACTGCCATTAGGTACCGAGATGTGATCCTCAGACCCCTTGTGAGACCATATGCTGGTGCGGTTGGCCCTGGGTTCCTCCTAATGCAAGACAATGCTAGACCTCATGTGGCTGGAGTGTGTCAGCAGTACCTGCAAGAGGAAGACATTGATGCTATGGACTGGCCCGCCCGTTCCCCAGACCTGAATCCAATTGAGCACATCTGGGACATCATGTCTCGCTCCATCCACCAACGCCACGTTGCACCACAGACTGTCCAGGAGTTGGCGGATGCTTTAGTCCAGGTCTGGGAGGAGATCCCTCAGGAGACCATCCGCCACCTCATCAGGAGCATGCCCAGGCGTTGTAGGGAGGTCATACAGGCACGTGGAGGCCACACACACTACTGAGCCTCATTTTGACTTGTTTTAAGGACATTACATCAAAGTTGGATCAGCCTGTAGTGTGGTTTTCCACTTTAATTTTGAGGGTGACTCCAAATCCAGACCTCCATGGGTTGATACATTTGATTTCCATTGATAATTTTTGTGTGATTTTGTTGTCAGCACATTCAACTATGTAAAGAAAAAAGTATTTAATAAGATTATTTCATTCATTCAGATCTAGGATGTGTTGTTTAAGTGTTCCCTTTATTTTTTTGAGCAGTGTATATTATATCCACTTATCACTATAGTGACTTATAGAAGACAAAAACCATATAATTCTTATGACAAGAATACCTTTGTTATAGCTTTTTAATGAGTCATTTGTATTGTATGAAATGTAATTATAAAATGATATAGATCCATCTTTACAATATATTCAAATGTATTCTTCACCTACAAAGTTGGCGACTTTGTGGTTTACCTGACTCTGGCTGCTGCAATGACTCAAAGCATTTCTGGAATGCCTAAGGTGTCCCCAAGCAGGTCCTTTGTCACAATATCCTCTAATGCTTGTCTCCAGCAGGTGGTTAGCAGTTTCAAACGCAGTAATGTAAAACTAGGTCAAGACAAATAGCACGTTTCCTTTGTCCCAATCACTCCAAAGTTGTGACCTCTGGACCTATGATTGGCCTTTTAGTCATGTTAATGAAACATTTAACTTTCACAATGAGTTACTTTTTCCCATCCCTGCTCACCCACTCCATCATTAATCAACTGACTCACCTACACACACACCCTCTATCAATGTCCCCCTTTTTCTCCCACTACCCCTGTTCCCTCTCAATGATTCAAATATCTTGTGATGCCCCACTCCTGTAATCTCAGTGACTCAAAGGAGCTTCCTAGATCGCTACTGACACTTAATGTTACACCTAGAGCAAGGGCACACCTGCGAAGCCGTGTCTCCCTCTCCTTTTCTCTTTATCCATTTAGTCTGGGCAAAAGCGAGGAACACGTCGGATGGTAGATAAGGATGGAGAAGCAGAGAACAGATTAAACATAATGAAAAAGGGAAAGGTGAGTGTGTATTTCTAGTGTTTAGAGTGTTCTGTATGGTGAGGAAGTGTCTCATCGTAGGGACCGGGCTCAGACTGGTCTAATCTGGTTATGCGCCGAGAGTTTAGTGACGCTACCTCGGGTCACCCCTTCATAATCTCAAGCCTGTCCATTTCCCACTTTCACTGTGAGCTCGCCCTGACCTCTCAAAAACACTCCCACTTTCCCCTATGGCCCTCCTTGTGAGCGTGCTCTCATTCCCTGAATCCAAAACCAACCCCAACCCCCTCCTGTTTGGCTGGGTGGAAATGTTGTCAATCTAAAGGCAAGAAGAAGTCATTACCATAACGCTTATCCAATCCTCTCAGATCTGCAGCAGTGGCTCGGGTGTAGGGGCTAGTGGTTGATTTGGAATTCAGAAACAATCTCCTTAGTTCCCCTAACTCCCAACAGTAGACGGAGGTGCATTCATGTCATACACACATCTGTCACTGTGATGTCAAACACTGAGCCAGCTTTCCAGACACATGCACACACACACACAAATGGCAAGTGAAACACAGACACCCATAAGATAAAGAGATTAGGGGGTGGGAGTGTCTGTCCCAACCCCTAGAGGTAGGCTACGGGACCTCCCCAGCTGTTCATGGGTCAGGTTGAACGGAACACGTTGGTTCTCTAATCCCCCAGCACATGTGCCACATCAGCCGTCCTCTTTTTTTTCTCTCCATGCCCTGAGGCAGGGAGGAATGACATTGAGGTACTGGGGGAGTTGAGCCGAGTAGTCGCCTTTGCCGTCTTCCTCTTGTGCACTCTCCCGGCCTCCGCTGTCTGAGCAGCTGCCAGCGTGACTATCTGCCGACGCACTCCCCCAAGCCTGTGACAGGTGTGCGATAAAACACTGCGTTTGAAAACAGTGTGCTTCCAAGCAGTCTGACTGGCCCACATATTTACTCCTATAACGTAAACAACCAATACAACCAGGCCTTGTAATGTCTCTGTACACAGTCTTTATTTACATGATACAATTATGCTGTAATGCTGGGTAGCAAGATTATGTAATACATAAATAGTTAGTTTTTTTGTACAAATTTGCATATAACTAACAAAGGAAAAAACTGAAACGGATACCTTTCTTTTAAAAAGTAAAAACCTCGTCCCTATGGGAGAAAAAGAAAGATCAACATAGGACACATACTGTCAATGTCTCACACAGCCAAGGAAAGTCTCACACACAGACCAATAGCAGAAAGAAAGCTGAAAAGATAAGTTGGAATCCAACTATGGAATCTATTTTTCAAATCGCAATTCTGGCATGCTCCTGTAGCCTTGTAAACATGTGCAAGGCTACAGGATATTGCTTAACAAAATAAGGAGATGGGGGAACGCACAATCTGACACCCACGTGTTCACTCAATCTCACTTAACACACACACACAAAAACAACACATAGCATGGCTGTCTCACTTCACAACTGCACTGAATACATGTGCTAATATCAGTACTATATTAATATATTAAAAAAACAGGGATTAAACATGTCTCAGCGGATAAAATAATGACCTAGCAATTCATTCAGATATTTTACATGATTTAAGATAGAGCAACCCATGCAGTTATCCCATTCATACCCCCCATATAGCCAAAAAAAACAGATAGGTAGTGCCCAAGCCACACCCAGAGAACTGCACGCAACCCTCTGCCTGAGACCACAGTTGGGAGATTCTGACCTTAGATTAGTCTAGGAACCTCCTTGACTAAAAGTCCTGTTCCACATGAGTTGGTAAAAATGGGTTCGTCCTCCTTCTCACGCCTCTTCCAATGAACGTAAAGACTGACCGTGGCGTTCAAGTGATGAAACAGAAATGGTGCCTTCCTCTGGCAATAATGAAGTGATTGTAACAGACGATTAGGAAAAAGGCTTCACACGGACAATGTGATGAGAAACATGACCTGCTGCTGTGAGGTAGGCAGGTAGGAGAGATGGTCTGAAAAAAGGCCCAACTGCTTTTTGGGAGAGTGTTGCAGTTCTCGAGTGGTCATACCTATTGGACAACTGACCCGACTGACACTAATGGGAACGGAAAGTAGAAATGGAGATTCAACTGAACTCGTCGGGATACTGCATGTGCACACAACTTTAGAAAAAATGGCTTGTCGACTATTTGGCAACAAAGTGGCCAAACAGCTCTGGGGCTGTATTCAGTTGTGATGGAACGTCCAGATAGAAATAGGTTCTGCAGAATAGACATGCCTCTCCTGGAAGGTTACCCTGGGCTGCTCTTTTAAAAGATAATACATGTATTTTTTTTTCTCCAGAATATCGGCAAAGACACACAGTAAAGAGGGAAAACAAAAAAAGTGACCGTTCATGCATCTCCCCCTTGGGCAGGAACTCTTTATTTTCTCAAGGTTGTGATTTTAAAAATGACTCCTATCCTTTTGCCACTCGTGCCAGTGTTCATGTCAAGGGTTCACAATCATACTCCAGTCTGTGTGTGGATGGTTCTTAACCCTATATTCTCTGGATCTTGTCAGCGACCACAACAGGGTTCTCCTTGCGGATCTTGGCAGCTGCCTCCGCCTTGTAGTCGTAAGGACAGTTGTGCTTGTCGGAGTACCGATGGACACCGCAGAACAGGTTCCCACAGCGACAGTCGAACCCTGGAGTAGAGTTCAAAAGGTCAGAGATTAGAGGGGAACCACAGCATGAACCAAACTCCAACTCAATAACAATTAACCTCTGCTAATAAGACCAAAGACACAGAAAGACTACGGTTACTTTCCAAACCACCTACGTTGCAGCCGCGTTGCATGGGGTTCCTGCTGTGTTTAGACAATATTTATACATAGTAGATATGAGACCAATCACAAATGCAGAAGTAGTGTTTTACATTGCAGGAATCCCATAAATATGACTTCACTATTTGTGCAACTGTAGAGTAGGTGGCCTGGAACATGGCCAATCTCTTTTGCAAGAACGGCATGACATCGTATACATTGCTCAAACCTGTCATCCCATTTCATTGAAGAAGCACCACATCCTGCTATGGCGTGCTCACCTGTGAGGCCCACCCTCTTGCGGCACATGAAGCACTTATTCTTCTTGGGCTTGGGGGTGTCTTCCTTGACTTCATCACTGCTGGCAGTGACAGGGCTAGAGGCAGTAGGCTGACTCACAACTGAAGGAGAAAACAGAGGAGAAAGGCACTTTGTTAAATATTCACTTCTTTCAGTCTTAGGATTAAAATAAAACAGGGTTCCTGTGTTCTTTTTTCTGAGGCAGTTTTAGCACTCACATACAAGGGTATTTTTAAAACTGGTTTATTTTAGGCAGGCTGTTTATAAAACCACAGTTGGGTCTGAGGTATACAAGTCAGTGTGCATAGAATTAGCCAATGGTAAAGTGGGTCGAACAGAGCAATGTTTCCCTCTAGAAGTGTGTGTTTTACCAGGCTCTAGGGAATCTGGGTTATCCTCTCTTGAGATGCTCATCTCTGTCATTTGTTGAGTCACTGGAAGAGAGCCTTGAATGGTTCTGCAGAGGGGGTGAATGAAAGAAAATGATAAGTTACAGATATGAGAGAGCATAAAGCAATAAGACATCCATTGTATCACATGCGGACACACACTCACACCTTACCTAGCCATGTCTGCAGCAGAGCCAGATGACGTGTCTACTTTGGCTAGACTGGCCTCCAGTCTCTGGATGGCTGAGGCATCAGAGGTAGAACTACCGACTGCTCCTGTGATACAGCAAAAGCAAAACATCAATCTCAGATGGGAGATGAGACTCAATTTTGGTTCAACGGTTTCCGCTCAAGAGCGCAGCTGGTCCATAACGTGTATGTAAATTAGGGTTATCACGATACTCCGAGGTATCGTGACAAGGAAACAAAACATGAAGCGGACTAAATTTCCTGAGGAAAACAGTCCTAATGTTGGAAACAAGCAGCCTTATGTTGTCACCCAGAATCACATGCTTCCTTTCCAAGCTATAGCACACAATATGGATCATACAGTAGGTTTTTTAAAGGACCAAAGAGTATCGTAGTATCGCAATACTGGTATTGTGACAACCCTAATGCAAATAGTGAATTTTAGCGGGGGAGGGAGACGCACTGTTTGAAGTAGATTTGTGTTGTGTGTGGTCAGTGAGAGGGTGGAGGGGGAACTTACCCATTGGGCTAAGTTGGCTCAAGCCGCAGTCACTACTCTGCTGTCGGTTCAGATGCTCCTTGTAGCAGACCGAGCACATGCCATTGTTCCTGGGGTTGCCATAGAAACCACAGCCAGTGGCACAAAGCACAGGCGTCAGGCTCGTCTCTTGGGCCATCGCTGTTGACAAACGGGAGCAAGGTGTATTGTTAATGTGGGAGTATGTATGCGTGTGTCTGCATGCATAACAGTTTGTGTGTAACTCAGGTGGCCAAATGTAGTTGTGGTGGTTGGGCACATACATTTGAAAATAACATACCAGGAAGGAACATTAAAACTAATGAAGAAACGGGGGGGGGAGGCAAGGATTCTACCACCAAAGTTAAAGAGAGTTGAAATTCCTCATTGCGCACAAGAAAACAGGGAATGAACGGTGAGAAGAACAATTAGGCCCAACACTTTTTCAGCTCCCCTCCTTGGCAGGAGCTGAGCACATCAACAGGAGTCAGGACTAGGATGTGTCAAAGTGTCATTACCATAAATGACTAGGCCTATAACAATGTCAGCTGGTCCTCCTCCAGCTTATCACGATGAAGCACATCTTGATGGATATTTATTTACACTATTCACCACCTCTGTGTGACAAGGACAGAATAGTGCCAATAGGGGGAGAATAGACCAATGAGTCACATTTGCTGATCAGTTTTTTTCAAACAACATTCCGCCTTGGATTGTGATTAACCCCGAAGGTGCTATAGCAAGACACTTAGAGATTATCTGGTACTTTTGTATACTATTTAGCCAGTAGTTGTCAAAGTAGCGCTCATGAGCCAAAAGTGGTCACAGAAAATTGCATACAATGTCACATACAGTGCATTCGGAAAGTATTCAGACTCCTTGACTTTTTCCAAATTGTTACGTTACAGCCTTATTCAAAAATTGATTAAATTGTTTTTTCCCCCTCATCAATCTAAACACAATACCCCATTATGACAAAGCTAAAAGAGGTTTTTAGAAATGTCTGCACATTTTCAAATAATATATTTGTACAAAACTGAAATATCACATTTACATAAGTATTCATACCCTTTACTCAGTACATTGTTGACGCACCGTTGGCAGCGATTACAGCCCTGAATCTTCTTGGGTATGACGCTACAAGCTTGGCAATCCTGTATTTGGGGAGTTTCTCCCATTCTTCTCTGCAGATCCTCTCAAGCTCTGGCAGGTTGGATGGAGAGCGTCGCTGCACAGCTATTTTCAGGTCTCTCCAGAGATTTTCGATCTCTGGCTGGGCCACTCAACAACATTGAGACTTGTCCCAAAGCCACGCCTGCGTGGTCTTGGCTGTGTGCTTAGGGTCGTTGTCCTGTTGGAAGGTGAACCGTCGCCCCAGTCTGAGGTCCTGAGCGCCCTGGAGAAGGTTTCATCAAGGATCTCTGTACTTTGCTCCGTTCATCTTTCCCTCGATCCTGACTAGTCTCCCAGTCCCTGCCGCTGAAAAACATCCCCACAGCATGATGCTGCCACCACCATGCTTCACCGTAGGGATGATGCCAGGTTTCCTCCAGAAGTGACGCTTGGCATTCAGGCCAAAGAGTTCAATCTTGTTTCATCATACCACAAAATCTTGTTTCTCATGGTCTGAAAGTCCTTTAGGTGCCTTTTGGCAAACTCTGTCATGTGCCTTTTACTGAGGTGTGGCTTCCGTCTGGCCACTCTACCATAAAAGCCTGATTGGTGGAGTGCTGCAGAGATGGTTGTCCTTCTGGAAGGTTCTCCCATCGCCACAGAGGAACACTGGAGCTCTGTCAGAGTTACCATCGGGTTCTTGGTCACCTCCCTGACCAAGGCCCTTCTCCCCCAATTGCTCAGTTTGGCCGGGGGGCCAGCTCCAGGAAGAGTCTTGGTGGTTCCAAACTTCTTCCATTTAAGAATGATGGAGGCCACTGTGTTCTTGGGGACCTTCAATGCTGCAGAAATGTTTTGGTACCCTTCCCCAGATCTGTGCCTCGACACAATCCTGTCTCGGAGCTCTACGGTCAATTCCTTCGACCTCATGGCTTGGTTTTTGCTCTGACATGCACTGTCAACTGTGGGACCTTATATAGATAGATGTTAGCCTTTCCAAATCATGTCCAATCAATTGAATTTACCACAGGTGGACTCCAATCAAGTTGTAGAAACATCTCAAGGATGATCAATGGAAAAAGGATGCACCTGAGCTCAATTTAGAGTCTCATAGCAAAGGGTCTGAATACTTATGTAAATAAGGTATTTTTTTGTCATTATGGGTTATTGTGTGTAGATTGAAAAACAGTCGCTTTCAAACTAGGGATTATGTAGCTATTTGAGGTAAAACAGTAATTCTGCTCATAGATTATCCATGTATGAACTACACAGACACATCCAGCCCAAAGTTGGAGGTTAAAAAAATAACCCGAACCGGGATGTTGGAACATTGCTGGGGGGAGCCCTATAGACGCCAAAGTTCCCAAGCATGTCTTTAAGTTCCAGCTAATGAACAACAGGTAACTTTGCAAGGGAAATAAACAGATTTATATTACAGGTTATGACCAAAACATAAAAAATGCTCTGCCAAGAAGGGGCCACAGCAGCCTGCTCAGAACATTCAGAGATGTCCGTGTTATGGCCCTGCGAGGATGCGAAGGACAAACAAAAAATTCTGACAGCCCTTTGCACTCTCCAACCACAGAGTGTAGTCCCCAACCCCCACCAAGGTGGCCTGTCAGGCAAGGATTTCCTTTGAAAAGCCTCTTCTACCGTATCACGTGTCTGCCTGCTGACTGCAAAGCAAAGTCCCCTGCAAGCACCACGATTGTTGACGTTGTCTGGTTTCCACTAGTTACCACAGCCGAAAAGGCAAGATGTTTTCAAAGAGAAATTGTAGAAACAGGTGGGGCTTATGACTTTGTGGTGACGACCAGGTTGCCTGGCCTGAAATGTTCCGATTGTTACGAGCAGTACTTGGATGCTCGTGGCCTGCTTGATGCCCGACAACCTGTTTGCCACCTGGGCATGCATGGAACACAAATGCTCTCACACATCGCCTTCTCAAAGAGAAATAAATAGTATTTGCAAGCCATCATACTTTTTACTGGACACACAAAAATAGTTTGTATTTTTGCTTCACCCTGATGCTCCCCGACAGATGTCAATGAGGCCACGTCAATCAATGTGCTCCACATGCGTCCATCCCTCCAGAGCCTATAGCGACTATCAGATAGGCAAATTTGTTTCAACCAATTAATGCAATCAACCCGAAACAAAACACGCATTAATCTGTCTGAATGTAGCCTAATCACACCCTTGGGGGGGAAAATGGCGTATTCATGGGCACAATGTGCTTATTCACGGCACACTTGCCTAGATATAACATAAATGTAACAACAAAAACGCTAGCCTCCAGATTACACTACACTGCCAACAGTGTGTGGACAACCGCTCGTTGAACATCTAATTCCAAAATCATGGGCGTTAATATAGAGTTGGCCCCCCTTTTAACAGCCTCCACTCTTCTGGGAAGGCTTTCCACTAGATGTTGGAACATTGCTGGGGGGAGCCCTAGCTATATGGTTATGGTCAGACAAAGAACACAATTAAATACATTGATATGGCCCAAAACCACTGAGTCACGCTACAGCTAAATAGTGCTAAGTACGAAACAAGAGCTAGCCAGCTAACGTAGATTAGCTTGACAAGCAACATTGTCGAGAGCAAAGGCAATAATTGTTTAGTAAATAGATTTGTGAATTAGATATAAGCCACGTTTTGACCCTTGTTCTTTTGGGCTTTCTTTGTCTGCTAACCATATCTTCCTGTTGTTTGGACGTCTTCTGATAACGTTAGCGCAAATACTAAAATGAATATGTGCACATATAGGCTGACACCCTATTCCCTATTTGTGCAATACTTTTGAACAGGGGCCATAGCTAGCTATCAGGTTAATTAGCAATTCAAATGTTAACATTTCCTTATGCGCTGTTAAAATGAAACTAATTGAAATCAACCAGCATCAACTAATATTCGATCAATTCTCAAAAATTGTTTAGCAATTGCAACTAGCTGTTAACTGGTATTGTTTTTAAATGATGTTCAGTTAAAGCACAACCACGGAGAATTACCTTATATATCGCTATTTTACCCTTAGTCTAGAAAAACGATACTATAGCATATATGGCTAGCTAGCGACTCTCCCTCCCTGACTTGCTTTTTTTCCTGGCCCAGCCAGACTGGTCACGTTCGAAGGCTTGTGATATTTTCAGTGAGGTGGTGGTGACAGCTTTAGCTCGCTAGACCTTGTTTACCAGACATAGAGGCTAACGACCAAGTATAAATATGACCTCCCCTCCACAAGACAACACATATTTCTAAAGTTAATTGATGTTCGGATAAAAATGTTTCCTTACGAAATTCCATATTAAGTTGATGATCCAATTTTCGGTGTCCTTTTTCTGTCTTCAACCATACACCACGACAACCAACCGTTTCAAATGTCGATTCTCACCTGCACAATTTGATCGAAATCACACAAGATGTATGGTCTGGTTGAGTACTGTCCACCAAATGTATTTTCTCGCTGTTTTCTCTGACGGAGGCTGTGTGAGAGATGTAAATATGTCTTCTCTTTCTCTCCCTCCCCCCTCTGCTCTCTCGAGCGGTGTATGTTTCCTACTTTAGTAAGAGGAGTGGCAGATGATGTCACGGGGAAAATAACGTACAGTGATTGGCTAGCCGAGAAGCCCTGGCGCGCGTGTCTCACAACAAGGGGTTGGGTCCTGGCTATCAGCATTGGGGAAGGTGAGGTTAGTATACCGTATTTATTGCATGTTCATTTGTCATCCATCCACCCACAGTTTATGAGTATTGAGCCATACCATGATTCTTAATAAGTCAATGTGTCTAAATGAGTCTTTCAAATAACACTGACAGGCTTGTGGTAACATATGAGTGTTTATTCTGTGAGAATATCACAGATTTGTGTCCACAGACAGGTGTGTGGTTGTTGCAATACGAGATTGTTTCCTCTGCCCACCCCCTGTCAAGAATCAATATGTTATTTTCTGTAACAAAGAACAGCAAAACAAGTTTAGGGGTGACATCAGAGATCAGACTAGCGGACGCTAGGGGGCCGCTGACCCCATATATATATATATACAGGAAATCAGTCGGCGTCTCAAGGTGTAATTTCGGAATTTGGTAGTGCATCAGCAGTTTTCAACTTGTTATGTCAGCCACTAGCTAGGTTTCCATCCAATTGCTGACAGATTTTCAGGCAAATATTCACAAATCTGTATAAAAACAATATGTGCATTTTCCCACCAGAAATGTGTTTCCATCAAATTGACTTTTTGTGGAATAAAAGGCTGTGCGTGATGACATAGTGTTGTGCACATAAATAATAATAAAAAAACCCATGTAAGGAATACAAAATATTCAAGTTAAATGGTTTTCCATTGCATTTTCAACTCTACTTTTTTTCCTCACAAAAATGTTTGCGTTATATAGTGAATGTTCCCACTCTGGTCTTTGATAAATGCTTTCTAGTCAACAGCTAGCATATACAGTGTGGGTATAGTGTACATGATGAGATTATTAAGGACAAAAAGAGCGAGATCATTTTTATTTGTCAAACGGCAGCCACACATCGATCATCATGTCACCATTATAAGACCCTCAATATTTATTGGAAAGGAGCATCAAGCTCATCACCATGAACTTTTTCACCCTGTGAAGTTCATCATAACTTATTTAATCCGTAGCCTAATAAACTGCATGCTTTCTCAAGTCGAAGTGGGAGGACCACACAACAAATCATCGCGTGACTGCAAGTTTACTTTGATATGATGGTTTATATAAACATAAATGAAAGTTCATTGGACACGCACACAGTTTAGCAGGTGCAGGGAAATGGTTATGGAACTAGCTCCTAACAATGCAGTAAAATGTAAATAAGAAGAAGAAAAAAGAAGAAGAAAAAGATCAAATTTCGGAACGCATGTAATTAAAAACCCAAATAGCACTCAGTGATCCAAATGCAGTATATACGTATACACCGGGTGAATTTACACAAGATACTAAGAATGATGTATACAGCATTGATATAGGGTGAGCTATGTATCTAACTACAGAAATGATTTCAGAACGAAAAATATGATGTGAACATTAGTAAAGTGACCAGTGTTCAATTACTCTATCTACATAGGGCAGAAGTCTCTAAGGTGCAATCTCTAAGGTAGAGTACCAGGTGGTAGCCGGCTTGTAACAGTTAATTTTACAGACAGTAAAATATTCCACCTTGTCTAGCGTATTTTGTTTTGTTGATTGGAAAGTTTAGTGACAAATTTGCTATTTCCATCAGGCCTGTTGTGACATTTATCTGACATGTACTTTACTCGCATAAAAAGGTTGGATGGAAGCCTGGTTATTGACAGTCACTCAATTAGCCCATGTCAGCAGTGCTCTGCCTTTATGCAACTTTAAAAATAAATTGTAGACCATTGTACACCAAAAACAGCATTAGACCCCCAAGTATCTTCCCACATTGACACACTACATGTACCACTTTGCTCCCTATGTTGAAAACAGTTTTGTTGTTTCAGTGGATGTGTGTTTGAACATTGGGAATAAACATTGAACATTCAGGGTGTTTGCCCTGTGGGTATACATAAAAGGCCCTACACGCCCCCCTCAACCATAACGTCACTCCTTTCACCATACAGGACGTCCTGGGCTAAAAATAAACATTGGGGTGGGGTATAGTGTGTGTGTGTTAGGTGCTCTTTGCTGGGACCCCTAGATTGTGGCATAAATTGGTGGAAAGGTGAGTGTTCCCCCAAGACATGAATCACAATGAGGAAGTGGGAGGTGTTATTGTAGGGTATAGCAGAATTGGTCGGGAGCCCATAAGACGGCCACTATCCACTGCAGCACACTCATTGGAGCAGAGACCTGGCAGTGTGGTGCCAGGTCAACCTCCTCTCCCTCAACATCACCAAAAAAAAGGAGCTGATCATGGACTACAGGGAATGGAGGGGCGAGCACGCCCCCATCCACATTGATGGGGCTGTAGTGGAGCGGGTCAAGAGCTTAGTTTCTTGGTGTCCACAGCACTAAGGAATTAACATGGTCCACACACACCCACACAGTTGTGAAAAGGGTACGACAGCGCCTCTTCCCCCTCAGGAGGCTCAAAAGATTTGGCATGGGCCGTCAGATCCTCAAAAAGTTATACAGCTGCACCATTGAGGGCAACTTGACTGGCTGCATCACCGCTTGTTAGGGCAACTGCAAGGCACCCGACGCAAGCCGCTACAGAGGGTGGTGAGTATGGCCCAGTACATCACTGGCTACCTGGACTACCTGCATTTACCCTTTTTTGCACTAACTCTCTTGCACTGACTCTATACCCACACACTCACTTACCCTTACACTGACACCCCAACACACACATACACACCCCAACACACATACACTTTTGCACTAACTCTCCTGCACGGACTATGTACAAACACTGGACTCTACCCACACACTCACACATACTTACACTGTTATTTTACTGCTTTTATTTTTTACTTATCTATTGTTTACTTAACACTTATTTTTCGTAAAACTGCATTGTTGGTTAAGGGCTTGTAAGTAAGCATTTCACTGTAAGGACTACACCTGTTGTATTCGGCGCATGTGACAAATAACATTTGATTTGATTTGATTTGATACCCCAACACACACATACACTACATACGCCCACACACAAAACACGCACACACATGCATACTGATGCCACACACACACACACACATGCATACTGATGCCACACACACACACACACACACACACACACACACACACACACACACACACACACACACACACACACCACATACAGTGCCTTCAGAAAGTATTCACACCCCTGGAGTTTTTCCACATTTTGTTGTGTTACAGCCTGATTTTAAAATGGATGAAATTGAGATTTTGTGTCACTGGGCTACACACAATACCCATAATGTCAAAGTGGAATTTTTAGAAATTAATAAAAAATGGTAAAAGCTAAAATGCCTTGAGTCAATAAGTATTCAACCCCTTTGTTATGGCAAGCCATACGTTCAGGAGTAAAACATTTGCTTAACAATACACATAATAAGTTGCATGGACTCACTCTGTGTGCAATAATATTGTTTAACATGATTTTTGAATGACTACCTCATCTCTACCCCACACATACAATTATCGGTAAGGTCCCTCAGTCAAGCAGTGAATTTCAAACACAGATTCAACCACAAAGACCAGGGAGGTTTTCCAATGCCTTGCAAAGAAGAGCACCTATTGGTAGATGGGTAAAATGGGAAAAAAAGCAGACATTGATCCCTTTGAGCATGGTGACGTTATTAATTACACTTTAGATGGTGTATCAATACACCCAGTCACTACAAAGATACAGGTGCCCTTCCTAACTCAGTTACCGGAGAGGAAGGGAACTGCTCTGTCACACCCTGATCTGTTTCACCTGTCTTTGTGCTTGTCTCCACCCCCTCCAGGTGTCGCCCATCTTCCCCATTATCCCCAGTGTATTTATACCTGTGTTCTCTGTTTGTCTGTTGCCAGTTCGTCTTGTCTCGTCAAGCCTACCAGTGGTTTTCCCGTACTCCTGTTTTGCTCTAGCCCCTGTTTTAACCATTCTGCCTGTCCTGACCCTGACCCTGCCTGCCGTTCTGTACCTTGTGACACTGTTCTGGATTACCGACCTCTGCCTGCCCCGACCCTGAGCCTGCCTGCTGTTTCTGTACCTTTCGGACTCTGCTCTGGATTACTGACCTCTGCCTGCCCTTGACCTGTTGATTGCCTGCCCCTTGTTTTTGTAAATAAACTTTTGCTGTTTCGCGCTGTCTGCATCTGGGTCTTATCCTGAGTCGTGATATGCTCAAGGATATGGTGACTTTAAATCAGTTACAGAGTTTAATGGCTGTAGTAGGAGAAAACTGAGGATGGTTCAACAACATTGTAGTTACTCTACAGTACTAAACTAAATGACAGAGTGAAAAGAAGGAAGCCTGTACAGAATACAAATATTCCAAAACATGCATCCTGTTTGCATTTAGGCACTAAAGTCAAGTTGCAAAAAATGTGGCAAAGAAATGAACTTTATGTCCTGAATACAAAGCGTATTCAGGACACATCACTGAGTACCACTTCATATTTTCAAGCATGGTGGTGGCTGCATCTTGTTATATACTTTTTTGGGGGATAAAAAGAAACATAATAGAGTTAAGCACAGACAGAAATCCTAGAGGAAAACCTGGTTCAGTCTGCTTTCCAGCAGACACTGGGAGACAAATTCACCTTTCAGCAGGACAATAACCTAAAAGACAAGGTCAAATATACACTGGAGTTGCTTACCAAAACGACATTGAATGTTCCTGAAGGGCTTGTTTTTACTTAAATAGGCTTGAAAATATATCTACTTGAAAAAGTCTGTCTAGCAATGACAACCAACTTGACAGAGTTAGAACAATTTCTTTAAGAATAATCTGCAAATATCGTACAATCCAGGTGTGCAAAGCTCTTAGCGACTTACCCAGAAAGACTCACAGCTGTAACTCGCTGCCAAAGGTGATTCTAACATGGATTGACCCAGGGTGTTGAATACTTATGTAAT